AATCATAAATCACTTAACTGTAAATGCAGAGAGACCTCCTGCACAGGGAATTATGAGGAGGACATGGAACATCCACTGAACCATAGGAACAATGTACGTATGTCCTGTTGTCAGTATTACGAGGCAGACAAAGTCCTTCAAACTCGACCATAGGAAAAGAACCTCCTGCAACCAGAATTAATGAGAAGAGGGGCTTCTGCTGCAAACAATCATAGGAACAGGGTAGTTTCATCTCAAAATTGGCATTACAAAGAGGATCCTGCTTAGGCTGGACCTGCTCCAACCGACAGCTGTCCACCTGGGAAAAAACATCCACAAAAACTGGAAGGAGGGAAACCAGCTTTGCCCTCTTCTCACCGAGTGTATAATCATGAGTATGTATGGTAAATTAAATTTCTAAACTCACTCAGGAGGAAGCCTCCATGGTCCACTGGATGAAAAAAAAGGAGGGAAGTAATGCGATGGGGAGTCTGGAGGAACATCACAATGGAGAAAGTGCAATGGGTGTTTCCAATTGCCTATTTTGAAAAGCAGACTGATCCAATTTGTTCACTCAAAGAGTCAGCAGGGATGGGCAGAAATCTCCTTCTGCTTTACTCAAGAAGTCCATGAGTAGCGATCCACCATTGAGTGACACTTACTGATATCTAGAAACATATATATATATATACCACTGGGTATGCCACCAATGGTCTTGCAGAACACCCTATCTCTACAGTGAGCATTATAGTGCAATCAATAAATAGTGCAGGTTTGAGGAAAAGTATACCTGACCAGGAAACACCTGCCACAGAGTGGGATCCCATTATCAGTGGCAAAAAACATGGGTTGCTGAAAATAAAAGCATAAATGAAAAGAAGTGAGAAAACATGCCCCAATCAAAAACAAAAGGACATGTGTAGAATCACCATGGGAAGGAAACGATATGCATCTGAGGAAGATACAGCCAGATCATGCAGGTAATGAGCAACAAAGATAGGAGGAGTAGTCAACATTACAGACAGAGCAATCTTCCCAAAGAATGGTGAAGGTGAGCAGCCAAAGACAACGCGATGTGACGAATTTGAAGAGAAGAAATGTTATGGAGATGGTGACCTTCCATGGATAAGTCTGTAAATGCCTTCCTGACGAGTTGACAAACCCAACCAGTTAGTATGACAGGGGATAGATAACAGGAAACAGAAGGGTTTCAGGGAATACAAAGTAGGGAATGTGAAGCCTGAAAGGAGGCAGGACATGGCATATAACACTGTAAGTAAGGAACTGGAAAAAGAAGCCGATCAGAATGGGAGTACCAGTGGGAGAAGGAAGATAAGGAAATGGATCTGAAAGCCAAATAGGCTTCATGGGCAGCATAGGTCTGAGGGAAGAAGGACCAGTCAGGATATAGGATGGCATAAGAGGAATGGTAGAGGAAGCTGGTAACATTAAAGGTATAAGTATCTGATCTACGACATCTACAAGCAAAGAGGAGGAGAAAATAGGTCTTCAGAGAGAGATGGTAGATTGAACATGAAGACAAAGGTTCAAAGGGAGGATGGAAAAGGCATAAAGGACCACCCTGAGATCCCATCAGGCAAATCAAAAGAATGGAGGGAAGACAAAACTAGGTGAAACCTGGAGAAATGGAAGGAGTTCGACAAGGCTGCCTGATAGTTAGACACAGTCAAAGTGGACAAGCCTTTGTCAAACAACTAGGTGAAGTATTGGGGAAAAATGAGGAATGGAAGGGTGGGAAGGATGGAAACCACATTGAAGAAACCAAAGACATAAGGTATTCCATCGCCTATGGTAAATGGACATAGAAGAAGGTCTGATGGATTGAAGAAGGAAAGATGCAATACATGGAGTCAGTTTCTGGGCTGAGACAATGGACCCGACAAAAGCCATGCATAAAGACATCTGGATGAACAATGTCCTACCGAGGTTGAAAGAATAGAGACCAAGATGGAGGTAATGGTATAGGAAGTTGTAGAAGTAAAGGTCAAAACAGTGAGTTGCACTGACCAATACGGAGCTGCCTGTAGGCCGAGACACAGAATGATATGTAATAGGGATACAACTATGGAAAGACGTCAAATACGAGGGTAAACATAGACAGAATGCGCCCAGTCCCCAGAGTTAGTGGGTGTGGAAAGGAAAACCAAAGGGAAGGAATTTTGGTGTTCCAGTGTGTGGCAATGGTATATATGAGGTGTCCCCGGCTGAGAACACACCTAAAGTTTGAGTCTATAAAGTATGTAATATTAAGGAATGTGCAAAACAATTACATTTTCCTAAAAACAAAGTAATAATCAATTTATCTAAAGTAACTTAGATGACGAAAAACACATAAATATCTAACTTACCAAAATGTGAGCACTGATAACATGAAATAGATAATTCTCTCATGTTAAATAAGGAAAAAGCCACACAGAGGAGAATCTTGTTGGGAGGAGATAATCAATCCACAACCAAATTGAGGGAGCTAGGAAAATGACAAGCTAGGACATTAATGTGATGACTATGAGCCCGGAAAGGAGATCCAGGATCTGTAGCACAGAAACCAGGAATTGGTACCCCCTTGTTCAGTGATATTAGTGACCACAGTGGAGATGGTGGAATACACCATAATCTTCCTTCCCTGCAGGAGAGGAAGGAAGTGAGACAATGCTCGAAGTACTGCCAAAGGCTCAAGAATGGTGAAATGGAGAGAAGACTCTTTGATTAACCAGAAACTGGAAATCTCCCGAGAATCGAGGTAAGAACCCCAACTCTCTAAAGATGAGTCTGTGAACAGATGTAAGTCCAGATGAGGTGGAGTAAGCAAGCACCCCCCCCCCTGTGGTTTGGTCCCTGTCTAACCATCAAGTCAGGTCAGCTCTGTTTGGTGAAGAAAGGGTAAAAGGGCGGGTGATCCAAGGAGTAGTCCCACTGATCTAGGTGTGTCAACTGAAGAGAATGCATATGAGTTTGACCCAAAGAGAACAGGGTATTCTTGTAGGAGCAGATGAGTGTGGTCTCTGGACTGTGAATGGGAAGAAGCAAGTAGGAGCCAGTCATCCATAGAAAGAATAGTGCAATGACACATAGAAGATGTCAGGCAAGAGTTTTTACCACACACACACACAAAACATTTAAAGAGCTAGGGTTAGTCCAAACAGTAGGGCCCTGAACTGCAACACCCGACTCACAACAATAAATAACTATAGATGATGTGGGCAATTTGTGGAAGAACCCTGAATTGTGGATTACGAGGAGAAATGAGGTTTCTAGTTTCAGCCCTATGAATGGGAAAGAAATGAACACGTCAGCGATGTAACAAAGCAAAAATGTTAAGCCTTACACTGACAACAATTAGGATGATAAGGCACATGGTTAACAATGACGAAAAAAAAATTATTCAGATAGAACAAGGAATTATATATTACTATATTACTAGTAGTAACGATATGTAACATATAAACTATCTAAACATACCTAGTTAACAAAGTACTTATAAATATCAAATAGATAAACCATCTAAAATTACCTAGTCCACAAAGTATGTAGTAATAGTGAATGTGCAGATTGACTAAATGATTAAATTTACCTTAAACAAAGTAATAATGAATATCTAACTTACAATTCCTCTAAATCAACCTAGGTGACAAAGGACACATAATTAAATCCTACACTGACAAAAATTAGGATAAGGCACATAGTTAACAATGATGAAAAGAAAAATACTTAGATAGAACAATGAATTAGATATTACTAGTAGTAATGATTCATACCTTACAAACTATCTAAGCATACCTAGTTAAAGTACTTATTAATGATAGACTAAATTTGCTGAGGCTACAAAGTACGTAATATTAAGGAATGGGCAAAATTATTAAATTTACCTAAAACACATTAATAATCAATTTCAAATTTACAAAATCTGAACACTTATGACATGAAATAGTTAATTCTCCCGTGTGTAAATAAGGACAAAGCCACACAAAGGGCATCTGAGCTGTGCCTATCACAGGTATATCATCCAGGTATGAAGTGTACATGTCAAAATACTTACCACAGATACCCTGGGAGAACTGGAAGCAATAGGATGAAAGGAGGAGAAGAACAATTCTTCACCAAAGTGAATGATGTGGTGGCATGGCAACTAGTGGAACGTAAAAACTCCTGAAGAGGGGTAGAATGTGAGAGACCAAATTAAGAAGGTGCCAGAAAAAGAGAATCCAAATATTCTTCTCATTGATTGTATTTTTCCTCAGAAACATTGTCACATTGAAAGAAGAATAAATGGCTAGCCAAACCTACGAATCTAGCTCCCTGTGAATTTAGGCCTCTACCTCCTTTGCAGATAAATTCAAACCCAATTCCTGGAAAGTTGTACCAATACGAAATGGCAAAGAAGCACATTCATAAACGGCAGCCACATGTGAAAAACACAAGTCTAAACAATGCTGTGCCAATCGAGAATTGAGTGAGAATAGTAGAGGAAGCTAGCTGCATTAATACAGGTGGTATAATACTATTGGTGGAGAGAAGTCACATGATATGTACATGTTCAAAAATGGTGCAAAATTGATGGGGTATAAAGACTGTTGCACCGAGTGCAAAAATGCTTAGCAATGCTTAGAAGGCAGATAGAAGATTGAGATAGCTTTTTGTGAAAGGAGGTAAGACTGTATCAGAAGAATAAATTAGTAACATCCATGCTACACATTTTTCAAATCCTATATCAATGTAGTTTCACTGTGGTGAGTAAAAGACAATCCAAAACACCATACAATCCACCACCATAAGTTTTGATATCAGTTCTTCACTAAGTCATGTGATTGAGATGATTTTATTTATGTTACTCCACCATTGTACACTGTGTGATTAGTTGCTGGGAATAAAATAGATAACAAATATTTTATCCTAATATATGTTGAATGCAGTCATTACTTAAATTCACCAAACCTTCGAAATTTTACTAGTATAAACTGCTTTGCATCACTTAGCATCAAACATCAGATTTAAATATTTACCTGTGTCATCTTCTCTACTGGTGTAGGAATTCCATCTATCACCAATGGAGGAAGCTCATGCATGGTCAGATCGTCCATGTGTTGAGGTGGAGCTTGCTCGGCCAAGGCTGATTCTAGTTCTTGAATAATCACCTGTCGACAATTTCTAATCTGTGGAACCCATAACTTATAATTCAGTTTCTTTCTAACAGTTACAGTAAAACAAACACATTTACTGAACTAATATATCTGACATGCAACTACCAAGAAAGTACATTTTTCTTGAATTTCAGGTGCTCGGTTTCTATTGAACTTTTGACTTAAACATTATGAAGCACTGAGTAGTATCTTAGATACATTATACTATGAAGAAAAACTACCATAAAGGCCAGAACAAAGCTTCCTCATTTCACCCAGTATTTTGATGAGATCAGGAATTAACCAAGTAGGTTCGACATGTAAGTTACTCCTATTATTATAAACCATATTTATGTTTTTATGATGTAATTTACCCGAAGATGAACTAAGTTTAGTCCGAAGGCTTGTGTTTCAAATGGAGGAGAAGGTTTTAGTTGTTATTTAGAAGTTGTTTGGATGAAGCATTTTCTTTGTTCAAGGAGGATTTAGACTTAAGTGGTATTCAGTTTTTAGATTATTAATTTTAGTTATGTATGATGTACATAAATGTTGCTTTCAAAGTGCATCTTTTATGTTCGTTATGGTGTATTTGGTTCTTTAATAAGATGACAGTTTACGTTATTGGGATTTATTTCTATTTTTGATTCTAATTTTTTTAGTTTATTTTTAATAAAGCATGGTTATAACTATTTGGCAACCCTGCCTTTCCACTCAAAGTACTATATCTAAATTCAAAACTTGTATTAGGGTGAGAAAATTAATAAAAGTATGGATTGTAGGATGGACATATATAATTATTTTGCAGTTACACTCAACATTAATGAGGACTTTTTGCTTAAAAGGTGGTTTCTCATTCATCTAGTTTTAAGATTTATATTATATTTGAGATTTTCTAAAAACAGGTTGATTGCTAATATTCTTAAACAATGTTATGGTAAACCTGTCCTAACTCAGTTCAGAAATGCTGATAATTACACTTGAAGTAAGTTACTCATAAATTTTTTTTTTGAATGAACCTAAAAGTTTGAAAATATTTTGAATTTTAATGTTCTGTTATTCCACACAATATCATAAAACACAAAATGAACTGTTGAATTTCGAAATTATACAAAAGAATCAGTGATTTAAAGCTTTAATATGACAATCCATAAAAGCATTCAAATTATTGGAGAATTAAGAAGGTTGCTTAGATTTTTTGCATCTCAATCATTTTATACAAACTCAAAACAACAGAATTCTTATACAATGTCAGAAAAAAACAACTGGTTAAGTTAACCGACTAATGTAAGGTTAAATAATAGGTTGAACAATCGCCAAGTTTCTTATATAAAGAAAGATTATGTTTCAAGCTAGTGCTCTTTGTTAGATCGTATAGCTTATGATCTGACAAAAAGTGCTAGCTCGAAACATCATCCTTTTTAAATAGAAATATGAAAAACTTGGGGATTGTTCAATCTATTATTTAATTTTGATATCTTTGTCACCCGTGCAGTTTTAACTAAATGCTTATTTTGAACAATTTAAGGTGACAGTTTGGTAAAAATTTGTTTATTGAAGAACCTGGTGATGTTATTTTTAATTATTCAAAATATGTTCTGCATGATACTGATAACAAGGCTTAATCTCATAGTTTATTCTGTACAGGTTTGAAAATTTTTGCAATTACTGTCACACCTACTGATTTGGTGTGTAACTCTGGTCAATCACTAAGTAATATTAGAACTTAGGTTAGTGGCATAGCTTTGACTTCTTTAAATAACTGCAATTTTTAATATAAAAAACTGTAAATTTCAGTTCAGGGAAATTAATCACTTTGAAGAATTTAAGTGAAAATGATTATATTAATATTTTTTTAAATTTGATAAACAAATTATTGTAGTTTCAGATAAAGATGAATACTTAAGAAAACCTGAAGACATTTTAAATGATTCAGCTAAGTTTGTGTAGTTACACAATGATTCTACTGATACTCGGGAAGCCAAGTTACAAAGGTACCTATTAACATTGTGAAAAAATAATATTTTAAATAAAAAAACAACAATATTTCAACATTATACCATGAGGTAGTCAGTCATCCAAGAGTTGCATTAAAAAGAAGGTCTATTGCAACCTATATTTTCTAGCATTGGAACTTAAAACCTTACGTTAGCTGGTTTTTGTTTGAATTTTTACCACCAATGAAGTTTGATAGCAAAGGTTATTGTTATAGCTTTGATGTTGAGTCATTGTATATAAACATACCATCAGAAGGAAACATACAACTAAGTGCTGATGAACTTTGTTGTAAAATAATATAATTTTCTTCTTAATGGCGATCTTTATGATCAAATTGAAGGTGTCAATATAGGTTCTAGACTGATGTCCTCTTTGGCTAATCTTTTTCTTGGGCAATCATGAAAGACAATAGTTGGAAGACTGTCCGCAATCTTTTCAATCACTTTACTACCATGAGTATAATAACACATTTACCATTTTTACTTCAATCTGAATTATACCATTAAAAAAAAATCACTGGTTTATATACTAATTTTGCAAGTTATATACAAAGTGTTTTTAAAGCAAAGGGATTAAACTTTTGTTTCATCATGTATGTAAAATATCCAGTACTTTGCATAAAGAATTCAATAACATCAACTAATTATTATGCAAAAATGGATTTCTCTTTTAAGTTATCGTAGCTATATGAATGAGTGAAGTTTTAGTAAACCATACAGCAACTGCCTGTTTTAAAAAACACACAACTGCAGAGGATGACGTTTCAAAAGTCTCCTATATTTCATTTTCAAATGAAAGATTTTCGAAACTTCATCCTCTTTTCTTGTATATTTTTTACAACAGGCAGAAACCATCCATTTCAGTATGCTCATCATGAACACTCTGCAAAAATATTCTGTCAAAGAATATCCATGTTTTGAAATATCCTGCTGTTATTATCTTGTCTTACATAGGCAAATATTCTTTGATTATTAAAAATCAGTTGATAAATGTCCTTCATAGGGTATACCATCAAATACAGCTGAGATATGTTTTTAAAACTGTCACCTACTATTTTTTTTATGAACTGTATTCCTGCACAGAATTCATGAAATGTAGATGATAAATTTACTTATCTCTGCTGTCAACGGAACATAATTGAGTTCACTAAAAGAAAACCGTTGACATTTAAAGATCTTAGCAAGGGCCAATGATGAACAGAGTCTCCATACAAAAGAGCTTGCTCATACACTGACCGAGGCTGTAAACTAACTACACAGGCTCAGCATGTAACTTACTGCAAATATCAAAAACTGTATTCATCTTTTTTATAATGTATTTAGTGACCTTCTATTTAAACTAGTTGGCTCACAATCGCAATGAAAACTTACTTTATTGACTGAAATTTGATAGATTACTTTACATCTGTCAAAAACCTATACATTGTTTCAGCACTAGACACTCCATGGTTTAAACAAAATTTGGTTTTTCATTTGAAATAATAACATTGTTAAGTTTTTGTTTTTTTTAATTTTACGCAAAGTTACACAAGGGCTATCTGCACTAGCCGTCCCTAATTTAGTGGTGTAAGACCAGAGGGAAGGCAGTTAGTCATCACCACCCACTGCAAATTCTTGGGCTACTCTTTTACCAACAAATAGTGGGATTGACCATCACATTATAATGCCCCCACGGCTGACAGGGCGAGCATGTTTGGTGGGACGGGGATTCGAACCCGCGATCCTCAGATTGCGAGTCGAGTGCCCTAACTACTTGGCCATGCCGGGTCAACATTGTTAAGATACTTCATCAGTTTGCTAACTGCAGTACTAAAAAAGTCATGTGATACAACATTCCTTGTTATAAACAAACTCTCATTCTTCATTTGAGATGATGACATTGTTATGATACCATATCAATTTTCTAGTTACAGCAATACAAAAATCACATGATGCCCTGTACTAGGGTTTCAACATATACTATGTTTAGTCTTTCCTTTTAAGAGTTCAGGCCTTTGTGATATATTGAAACAATTTCAAGTTTCTAATGTATTACAGCAGTGGAATGATGGGTTAAGTTACTCCAAGTAGCATCCTTTAAACAGAAGTAACTTCATACAGCAGCACAAATATTACACTACGTTACACTGATATTGTTTGCTTACCACGTTCTCCAGTGGGTGAGCTCCAAACACCTTGAAATTATTTTGAGGTTTCCCTGGTGTGACAATCAGAACTACAGCCTGCTGTCCCACTCTTGTGCTGTACTCATCAATTATTGCTTTCAACTTCCTGCAACAAAAAATTAAAGTCCACAAACAAAAGTTATAACAAATATACAACCTTGCAAGAGATAATGAATCTACTGAAACCACTCCACTATCATATAATAATAAAGTGATACTTAAAATAGCCACATTTTTCAACCACATATTAATAAAATTATTGAAGATTACACAATAATCCTTATTCCAAATCTATACATGTTCAACCTTTTTTAATGATTAACTTAATAGTTTTGTACCAGTAAGCATAAAATTAAATTTTGTCTTCACTTTTAATTAGACATCCTTTATGTTAGAAACAAAGATTGACTTGAAAATTTCCTTCTAATTGCTCACACGGCTTATAATGCTAAAAATTGGGTTTGATACTCAAAATGTGAGGAAGGCAAATAACCCACTGGGATCATTTTTGTTTAACAACAAAAACGCAAACATTTGAAGATGATGTAACGGTAACCCAAAACTAATTTTTGAATTTACCTTTAATTAGAGATATTATATTAAAAATGAAGAGGATTAACTTGAAATTTCTGTTGTAGTAGGCCAAAACCTCCCCTTATATAATAGCTTTTCTCAATCTTTCACTGCCCTCTAATGCATTGAAAAGAAATTTAACACTTGATGCACTAACCTTTATACCCCCTAAGTTCAATCTGCTCATTTAGCATGCAACAATCCTCCACCAATAGGAGCACTACACACTCTCCTAAGGCCTAAGATGAGGCCTTTAAGAAACAGAAAAACACCAAAAGTGGGAAGTGTGTCAGAGGAGGTAAGTACCTATTGGAAATCTAGTTTCAGTGTTAGAAAATGATAATTTCTGATACGATACATACCTCTTCTCACCTAATAGCTAGAATCAATCCCACATTGAGTAGGTGGAGAGACCGGTGTAAGATAACACAAGAGACCCCCCCTGTAGAAAGCATCCATAGAGAATCGAACAGGTATGGACTGTAATGGAATGGAAGCACATGTGGGGTACGTCGAAGAAATGGAGAGCAATGAGGCTTGGAGCTAGTAAAAGAAAGACCTTGGAAAACAATTTATCATGTGTAAATAATCAATGTGAGTCCCACTCCATCATAGACTGTACAAATGTGACTGGAAACAAACCGACTCTGGTAGGAGAAGAGTCAAAAGTAGTATAGAAAAAAAAATTTACAGAGATAGGTAACTTCAAACCCACACAGAAAAAACAGAAAGCCAATGGACAATTCTTGGAATTATGAAGATATACGCATTCAACAAGACATTGCTAGATATCTACTCAACCTCATCTGTACAGACGAGGTTCCATGTCTTGCCTTTGGCATTATAATTTAAAGGACCTCACATAAATTCAAAAGCAGACCATTTGTAACATATATACCAACCTGTCCCATAAGTAAACAGAGTGCTACACTACAAGCAACCAGAATTACGATGAGGAAGTAAGCAAACAGCATCTGCTAGACAAACTTCCAAATCAACTGTAGGAGTCAAGAAGTACAACAAACCAAACCCAGACTTATGGGGCTGTATCTATGCCTCAACTTAACCATAAGAAAAGGTGCTACAAGCAGGAAAAGAATGGTTCCAACTCAACTGTAAGAGCAAAGAAGAAATACTGTGCACCTGGCATTACGAGGAAGATGTAGAATGCCTGGTCAACCATAGGAGCAGGGCATTGCATCTCTGGCAACCAGTATTATGAGGCAGATGAAGTCCCCTGAGTTCACCCATAGGGAAATGAAACATCTTGCAACCAGAAATACAGAGAAGGAGGTATCTACTGGTATCAACCATCAGAAAAGGGTGTGCCCTACCTGAACCCGGTATTACAAGGAGGATACAGTATTGGCTGGTCCAGCTTCCATCAACATCAGCATACCCATGATTAAGACATGAGGGGGTAGAAGTCAGGTGGGTTCCCTCTGCCCTCTTCTCTACATAGTGTAGTGACATGTAATGCTAAGATGTGTATTCTACACTCATGAGGAAGTCTCCATGGTCCACCACCCCAGCTGCTAGAAACTGGGAAGTGGCAAGGACTCTCAAACTCCACTTGAGGAAGGGAGGAGTAAAATACATTGGGGAGTCCAGAGAAATGTCACAATGGAGAAAGTGCAATGGGTGACCACAAAACCCTATTCTGAAAAGCAGACCACTCCTGATTTATTCAATAAAAGAAGAGGCAGGGTTGGGCAGCAATCCCCTTCTGCTTTATTCATGGTAGTCCATGAGTTATGGTTCTCAGAGGATGTATCAGAATTCTACATATATATATCACTAGGTAAGCCACTAGTGAACTAGCAGAACACCAATCTTGACACTGTATGGTATAACCTAAAAGGTATTTGGTGGGGGTTTATAGGAAAACATACCTCACCAGGCAACACTCGCCACTGAGCAGGATCCAATTAGATATTAAAGAAAAAATGAGGACCCTGAAAGAAAAAATAACAGAAAGAGACTTACCCACATGAGAGTTGAACTTGTGTGTGTAGCATTGTTAAAGGAGGTAGACAATATCCACTAGAGAAGGACACAGCCAGATGGTGTAGGTAATGAGTGACAAAGGTATGGGGAATAGTCCACCTTCCAGCCTGGATGATCTCCTCCTAAGGACAATGAAAATGAGCTACTAGAAACATGGTGATATGTCGAATCTGATGAGACAAGATATGATAAATAAGATGCCTTTCCAAGGAGAGGGAAAAGGAAGCCAACCTAATAACCTGCTGAACCTAACCTGAAATAGTGATGGGGGAGAGGTCATGTGACAAAGAAGGGTCCCAGAAAAGAAACAAACAGGAACAGGAACCATAAAAGTAAGCCATACAAGCCACATAGCATCACAGAGCCTGCAAAGGGCACAGGAGGTGTCCCGGATCTTACGTGGAAGAAATATTGGAAATGGAAGGGATGATGATGGGTGTAAAGGTAGAAATGCTCTCTCTGGTAGCAGAAGTCTTGGGAAGGAAGGAATTGTCTGGGTATAGCACAATATATATATATGCCATGATAAAGGGCACAGGAAAATTATATTACAAAAAAAGTCACACCGATGATTACTACAAATCAAGAGGAGAATGAAATAGGTCATGAGGAAAAAATTATACAGGGATCATGAAGCCAAAGGTTCAAAGGGAGGTTGGGAATGGGCAAACAGGATGACATGGAGAACCTAAACAGGCACGGGAAACGCATGGTGAGGATGAAAAACCTGAAATGACTGGAACAGGAGGGAAAGAATAAGAGCTGGTGGAATCTGGTAAAATGAAACATAGTTGACAAGGCTGTTCTATAACCAAAAACTGTCAAAACCAAAAGATACTGATCGACCAGCCAGGTGAAGAACCAGGAAGGGTGAGGAATGAAAGGATGGGAGAGGCAGAAATCTTGCTACAGAGACCAATGACTAGAAGTAGTCCAAGGTCATTGGTCAACCAATAATATGGATGGTCAGAACAAGAGGGAAAGGAGAGAAGCATCATGCAGTGTCAGACCACCTTGTCTCCCAGCAAGAGACCTGACAAAAGCCTTGCATGAAGCCAGGGAGAGGGAACAGCAGGATGGAAGATGTCCAATTGAAGGAGAGAAGGAGACAGAGGGAGGGGCTGAGGTGATGATGATAATAGGAGAGGGAACCAAAAATAGAGCCACTAAGAGAACTAGACACAGAGTGGTGTGGATGAAAGAGATTACTTTGGGGAAGAGACGTATAGGTGGAAAGACCTAAATGTGAAAGTAGCTACCCCTAAAGCCTGAGGATGAGGAACTAGAGACCAGAAAGATTGCAGTTTATTGTTCTGATGAGTGTTAAATGCAACTATGTGCAGGGTACCCAAGCAAGAGCATAGCCATTAGAAAAGTTGAGGATTGAGCTTTCACTCCATGGGAATGGCCATATGTGGACTCGATAACTGATCAGCAGCAATAGTCAAAGCACCAGGAATATACTAAGCCAAGAGCTGCATCTGATGCACGTGAGCCCAGAATAGGAGCTCCAGAGTCTGAAAACAAAGGGAAAACAAAACTGGAATTTGTACCCTCTTGGTAGGAGATCACTATAACCATCATACCCCTCAGAAGATGGAGGATATGAGACATAGCTCAACTAACAGTTAAGAGCTGCAAAACATTGACATGAAGCCTGGATTTGGACAATGATTAAATCCTGGAACTATCCAGGGTTTTGAGATATGCACCCCAACTCACAAGAGAAGCATCAGTAAAAGGATGCAGATCCAGACAAGGAGGTGGAAGAGGAACACCAGTCGTTGTATGATCTCTGTCAAACCACTCAGCAACGTCAGTCCAATAGGAAGAAGGAAGGACAACAGGATGATCAATGGGATCTGGGCTGAAGTTACATCATTCATGGAATTCCCACTGGAAGGAACACGTGAACACAACAGGAGCCTTCATATGAGAGATCTCATATAAAAGAGAAGGAGAGGCATCATATAAAACAGGAGAAACAAACAAAATGTGAAAAATCTGTGTAATGAATGGAAGAAAAGGAGCAGAATGTCAACCTTCCTCTAAAGGTGCAGGATGTGGCCATATGGTAAAAATGAACCAAGGCTTGCACCTCCTTGGCAGATAACAGGATTGGGTGTGCCCCTTAAATTCAAGAACCGTGGTGATAATCACGGTAAAATATGAATTCATAATTCGCAATAATTAGTGTGAAAATGGTAATTAAAGTTTGTAACACACCAAAATGAAAGAATGAGCAAAGTAAGTTTATGTAAAAAAAAAGAATAAAGTCTGAAATATCACAAAAAAAAAGATCACAAACTGAAAGAAAGCGAGAAATACGCCTGACTCATATTGTGACAATCAAGAAAGTGAGTTTCACAACAAATAGCACAGAGGGAGCCAGCTGCTCTAGGAGAGTGTGTCATGCTTCTATTGGTACAGGGTTGTCACATGCTCTGTGCATGCTAAATGATCAGTTCAAACTTAAGATATAAAGGCTAGTGAGTCAATCGATTAATGTGCTAGAGGGCAGTGGAAGATCAAGAAAAGCTATTGTTTGAGAGAAGGTATGTATCATATGGAAATTGTATTTTCTTTAGACATTCTATATATAAGAAAATATTTATCTGATATGTGTCTTTGCAGGAGTTATTTAAATTACATAAAGAGAGAGAGAAATTGATTAGACTTGTACAATGATTTCACCTCTGTAGGGCCATTTTTTGGCATTCATTTACAATTATACATAAATTGGTGAAGATCAAGAAATATACAAAACAATAACTGTACACAACCTCTGAAGACGAGTTTGTTGTCGTTTTCTAATCGAGGGATTAGTTTCAAATATATAAGATTTCTTTCTTCTTTTACCAGTAGCAATTGCTGCAGCTGCTGCTACACCAATGGGGCCTGAAAAAAAAAACTCTTAAGTTTTGTCATGAATTTTTGTTTAATTCTAATAAATAAAAAATAGTCATTTTTTTTAAAAGATTGCATTAACATAATAGCCTACACTCACATTAACCTGATTAACTTTTAAAAACAAAACACCAAAACAAATCATTACATATCAGAAAACTATTCAAACAAACCAGAAACGTTGTCACTTCTTTGAGATCACATTTTAAAACTACACCTTTATCATTCATCCATTAGATTAACATAACTTTTATGACAGCATTTGGGCATTTTTAATAAACAAACTGTTCTTAAACCTGGAAAAAAATTCATGCATCACAATTTTAACTTACTAAGTTACCACTAAATATTAAGATTTATAATATTACCTTTATAGAAAATTCTTAAAATCAAAAGTAATTTTGAGTGAAAAAATTTCAGTTTATTTATTTGGACATTGAGAAAAAGTAAGGGATATTGAAGACTTATTTTTATACTCTACAGTAATGGGAATGGAGCTCAAGTGAGGACCTTGAAAAAAGAAATTTTTATATATTTTACAACACTGGAAAGGCAGCATAAATGAGAACTCTGAAAATCATATTTTTTTAAATGATCTACCAAATGAGGATTCTGTAAAAAAAAAAACTGTATAATCCTCTGTTCATTAAACTTAATTTATAATTTACTTAAATTTTGAGTACTTAACAGAAACCTAATTTCATATAAAAGTTTAGGGCTGCACTTGATTTTATACAGGTCAGTAAAACAGGAAATTTACCTTCTAAAGTTTTAAGCAAGCACAAATGCATTGTGTAAAGAGATGCAATAAAATGAATAGAGAACATTTTCTTTTATTTTAAAACCGTATATGATGGTTAAAAACATTTTACAATACACCTAAAATTACTAGTTTAGCCAAGTAAAACAAGTGACACTTGAAAGTAACATTACTTTTTTCATATTGTTAAGTTAAAATGTTATATGCACAAGAAATAAAAAAGAAGAGAATACAGAAGCCTCAGGAATTATAAGAACAGCAAGGGAGTTAAGTGAAGTACGGATGCACGATAAACTAGTGTAAAATCTAACAGTTTATTGATTAGTTCCATAGATGAGTAAATAACGACTGAGTAAAAGGTATAAGCCATATGTTCATACTTTTCATAGTCAGTTTGTTAAAAGCCAATTGTAGAAATTAATTCACATCACTGTTAATGCTTATTTTATACAAAAAATAAGTATACATTAAGTTTTAGAAGATAAACTCTTAATACTTTTTTCACAATAAAATATATTCAAGTGAGGATCAATTTAACTTGTTCAGTTTTACTAGTCTGGTAAAAGTAGCCTTTCACATGTTACTGAAGAAACAGGATACATCAGTTTGATACATAAGGGAGGAAATTAAGAGGAGGTAAGCATAAAAAGATTGGAGAAGTCCTGACTGAATGCATCAACCGCCAGTGTCGATGGATGCAAAACAAGAGACCAGAATAAGGGAAGCTTGGCACTGTTATAAGTGGCAAAGGCATTGATGTGACAAAAGTCTGGGTAACAAGAAAGCCATCGAAAAACACAATAATTGAGAGACTACTCCTTAGAAAATAGCTGGTTGGGTATCTAAAGACAATTTGTGACAAGATTCAGGAACCCAGAACATGAACCGCTATAAAGTAGACACTTAGAGAATGAGCTCACAAGAGGAGGTTGTGGGTTTGGAAACACAAGACTGAGTGCCATACTGTCAATAGACACTTAGAGAATGAGCTCACAATAGGAGGTTGTGGGTTTGGAAACACAAGACTGAGTGCCATACTGTCAATAGACACTTAG